CTACAGCCCTTCAGCCAATCACTTAGAAGAGGTAAATCAGAAAAGTGAAGAATGGGGAGATTTCTGCAGCTACGAGATTTTTCGTACTCAAGTGAACGTTTCCTCGAAAGTCTTAGTAACTTTACAGGCGCGAAAGGGCGATTTTTAAGAAACCTGTTTGCATTCAAGATCGAGATATTGATAGGCTTGAGACTCAAACATGCAATAAAAAAACAAAAGCCAGTGCTTTTTCTTAGCTGAGACACCCACTATTATCCCCTTAAATAGTGATTTAAATATGGCTTCAGGCTCGTAAATTTACCGCTAATTTCAAGAAACAGGTGTTAAGAGCATTAGTCCTCGACATTCAGATTCGTCTCGTGCAGAAAAATGGAAACATCTACTATTTCAAGTTGCCTTTCACTTTGACAGTCTGAGGGTAAAATCTAGTACCAATGTGGTGGGCCACTTCCCACGTTCTAATTCTCACCGTCTTCGTATTTTCTAAGAGACTAATCCATGGGAAAAGAACGTCGTAACACTGTGATAAGGAGTGCATAAAATCTTTTAAAAAGACCCTAAAAGGAGAGATCAGAAATCAGATAAATTTACAAACGCTTCTACAGCTACTCTAATGCGGACCTAGCATATATTTCCCCGTATCCTTAAACGGACCCACAAAATGTCTCCTAAGCGCAAAAATACTTTTGTTTTCACATTATTGCTTACACTGTTTAAGTTGTAACAAATATATATTTAAGTTGTAATAAAATATATTTAACTTCTCGCCATTTCTTGCCTCTGTTGTCTGCTCTTAGACCTCTTTATCAAAAACCTTTGCGCCAAATGACAGAAAAATAACTTTTTTTCAGAATGTTTACCTTGACCTAAAATCAATCGAGGAAAAAATGCACCTAGGGATTTTGTAAAAATGCGAATTGCAATACTGTAAACAATGCTATTAGTACCTTCTTGCGATCAAGACAAATGGATACTCACCACACCCTACTTAAACTTGAAACACACGTCAAGTGGAAAGTTACAAAAAAGCCTTTGGTCAACTCCGCGCAAGAATACCTAACAACAGTTAAGGGTTGGATCTTATGGATTCCATCACCCCCCTCTTTACACAAAGTGTAAGTTTAACAATGTTCTCTTTTGGCATTGCTCTTAGCACACTGTACTTCCTTCCACAACTCCCCATATTTCTTGATTCTGGAGCGGACCATTCAACCCTTTAACTCCCAGAAGTGACCAACATGTAACTTCTCCCTATAATATCCATATGTTTTCTAGCAAACAGTTGATGAGAATACTCACACATCAAGAAGAAGTTTTTATCTTGATCTTACAACAAATTCTCGTAACTAGTTTGCAAGGAATTGAGTAGCAGCAAGAAGAGAGAATTGACAGTCAAGATCTTAGGAGTTAAAGGGTTAAACACTTTCCTACTACCTTCACTTTTATCATTTTTTTAACACTCTAAACACAAACATCAGTTTGCATATTCTTCATATTCCTCAAGGAGAATTTGTTTAACAATCAAGAGCTTCTTTAGGTGGCAAACATTTCTATTATCATTGTGACCTTAATGTGCAATTCAGGGGAGTGAGGAGAAATAAGATGTCAGTCACTTGAAAGGGTCAACATACATGTTCGTACATTTTACAGATATTCCTGACAATCTATATCCAGAACCTACACTGAATCTGTGGCTGTTTAAGGTACAAATGTGCTAACAAATCCAAGTCACAAAGCATTCTTTAGTGTACCATGTTAAACACATAAATCCAACTTTACTTTCATCAAACAACAACAAAAGCACCAACAACAATTCAGGCAGACCAGTCATTATCATTCATCATAAATGAGTTCTTGTTGTAAAAGGATTTCATAAAGTTCTACTATCTAATAAAGTAGTGGAAGAAAGGATACAGAAATGTCTGTTGGCATAAAGACAATATCTATGGAAAATTCAACAACAAAAAATTAAAACAATTACTCTAACAATAACTAATATTTTGGCCAGTCAAACAATTTAGCCAGAGCTGGTTGTCAGAGCCACAAAATCAGTGATTCAAATGATAACTGTGAGTAAACAATGGGATAAAGGGGGTAGGTTTCTAAACAACCTGTAGGGCTGGGTTAGTGGGGGGGGGGGGGAGGGGGTTAGCAACACAATTTGGGAATATAAAATGAGTTGATAGTGTGAAGTGGCCCCTGTAAGGAGTTCCTAAGGAATTAGCCCTTCCTCATGGCAAACGTGTGGGCTCATGCTGGAAACTTCAGCTTTACAATCTCTTAACAGAGGCCACTTTTCATTTATTTATCAACTTAATTGATAAAACCAAAAAAATCAATGAATTAATATCAATATGGATAATAATTATTCACCTGTGCCCCCTATAGGTGGAAAAAAAATGTGTCAGCTGAAGGATTTTTCATCATACTTTTTTTTTTCGAAAGACATTTTGAGGGGACTTTACATATCCAGGAGGCTTACAAACACATTTGGCATTCTTCAACAAAAGACAGAAAAGAAAGGGCACCTGAAATGTAAGCTGAGCTGCTCCAACAAGACAACCAAGAATACTGACAACAGATCCAAAAGAAGGAAGGGTTGATGGTGGTTTAACAAAAAACCCATTCTTGGAAAGCCTATAAGAAAAGAGAACTTCACACTTCGCCTGCATTTTCTGCTTATTAAAACCTCTAACTTGTGCAAGTTTTTTTTAAATATGTAACATCTCCATACACCATCCATCCACACATTATCCAAGTGATGAGAACAGTAATGAGAGATATATTTTAATGAGGAAACAGAGAATGTTTCTGAATGTTTTTTCAGCATTTTCACTCTACATATGCCGACTTAAACAATCAACAGGATTCTGTTTAAAAGTTGTAGATTGACTGTATACCTGGGAAAGGTGTTTCTTAAATCAATCATCTTGTTATAAATTTCTGTTTCTCGCAGCCTGCTCAGACTTTTAACAATCTGTAAATAAGAATGTATACAGAAAAGTGAAAGAAGTTCTGTTTAGCTGAGGAACAAAACTTAACTGCAGGAATGGAAAGTATTTATCTCATATGTACATTCAATTTAATCATGATAGTACCCTTTTCAATCCTTGAAAATAGAATTGCTTTCTGTGCTGGTTTCCATTTCTATAAACAACTCTCTTGATGATGGCAGCCTCTGACCAGAGATGTGGTAGCTTTGCTTTAAAGACAAGAGAGTTCAGCTTGCTGATAGTGTCTTTTATGTCATCTAAAAAAAATAATAATAAGTAGAAAACATCAATATTTCCACAAGCTTGATGCTAACTCTCATAAGACTACTGCAATTAAGAGGGGTACCAGTAGAACATCTTGCAGCTGAAAAGAAGTTCATTAATTTGACTCCTATTCAAAAGTGACCCCATGGCAATTCACTACAAACCCTGTAATTCATGGAACAACACAAATGTTGTGAATAGGCATGTGTACATTTTGATAACTTGATAGGATCAATTTTTCCTAAATCAATGGATCAGCTCAAAAAGTACAATGGCCTTGTGTTCTTAAACAATCCCAGAGACCTATACATTACTTGCATACTGGTTATTTTGATTTGGCCAATCACAACTCTTTTACAAGCCTGGTGGCCTACCTGGATAGTGATTGGAAGGGGAAATTTCAGGAAACTTTGATCAACTTTTATTTCTGAGAAAACACCTTTGGAAGTATTTATATGTACTCTGATCTAAGGAAAAACGAAAATCCTATATGATCCTCATTCAAGAGTCATTTTAATTTCCTAATAGAAATTAATCACCGGATCCATCTACGGCACAAGGCAAACAGGACACGTTTTACCGTTAGGTACCCCTAACTTTGTTGTTCCTTTCATTTATTTGTTTGCATATTTGTTTCAATGCCGTGCACGCGACATGTACATGTGACAGTGAGACAATACCAGATCAACAGCTTCATTCATCCCACGTGTGCGCGAGATTAAGATAATCCAAAATTCTGTAATTAATGTACTCATTATAAATAGCGAATCGTCGTTTATCTCAATTAAACACAGGTCTGATTTCCCGAAGACTAAACCAAGGATAGTTCCGTAACATTGTGGCACGTGAAAGATGGAGAGATGTGGGTGATTCGGTTGCGTACGCTGTATGTTTGCATCGAACGCTCTATCGGGGCAGATCTTATCATTGGTGAAGTGTTATTAAAAAATTTACCTTCATCTACTCTCTCCTTGCAAATGTATTCCTGAGAACATATCTGCAACGAGCTATACAATTCCCTGTGGTTCCAAAACCCATTCATCAAAACGTCCGCCATATTGTTATGTTATTCTTCGACGAGTTACCGCTGGTCAACGAGAATTATGTCCTTCAATCCGCCTCAACCCCAGTCTTCACATATAGGGAACGCTTGCTCGAGAAAGCCCGTGTGCTCAGTTGCTGAGGAATTATACCAACATTCTGTGATTATACAGCTGTCCCTGCTGTTATCAAGCCGGTTACCGCTCTTTTTGTTGTCCGATTCCATGTACGAAGGAATCCTTAAATGTAATGACCACGAAACATATCTGCTCAGTTTGGCTTTGAACAACGCAATTTACCCTACGAATTTGCGTTAAGTTGTTTAGAAAGATTATAAAACCAACATTTTTATGAGAAATTGTTTATCTCCAGAATTTTGTGAACTCTATGCAGAATCAAAGCAAAAAGCTTCCTTCTTTTAATCCTTAAATTCTACTCAAAAATGCCCATCTGCGCGCGCGAATGAAGACAATCTCTGGTTCTTCTTAGATTGATGACTCGTCGCTTATTTGACGTCACGGCTGAATTAAAAACGCATATGAAAATAGTATTAGCCATCTTCTCGTTCAACAACAAATATATCATTGCTTTACTGGACTTTTCAATGGTGCAGGTGAAGATGTGCCATGGTGGTGAGATTATTTTAATTTTCAATTTCGATCAGGTGGCAAATCGTGAATCTATGATTGTGATTGCTTTATTTTGCAGTTTAACATCCGAGGATTTACGCTTCACCGAAAAGAGCTATATACTTCGTTATCATTACTTTTGGTTACACTTCTTTTTGGCGCCCTAGTTAACGACTTTGTTGCAATCATAGACGTGGAGATGCCTGAGAACTCGACTCACGAGTTCACCTTTGTGATCCTGGTAAGTATCACGATGGGTAAAGACGGAGTATGTATAGCATACAGATACGACTTCTTTTTAAAATCCCAGCGAGCGTGAGGTATATATGTATATATACATATACATAGTTACGTGTATAATCATAATCTACCTGAATATCAGCTGAGATTTAATCAGTTATAAAATCCTAAATTATTGAACCTGTTCGTGCAAGCATACCGCTTAAGATGATTTGCCGCCGATATCTTTCAGATGTCAAGAACCGCGAAGACTCTTGAAGAAAGCATCGTTTCAATGAGTCACTGAATTATTTTCTACAATTCAGCCTTTCTAAAAATCCTTAAATAATCTTAGTCAAAAGGCTGACAGGTATACAAGTTTCTAATGGTCATGGCAGTTAAACCCTCTTCTTTCACTCGTTGTCTTTCTAGTTGCTCCACTGTGTATCCTTTACACTCTCCATCCTGGGTTTTGTTTATAATAGTCTAGCCGAGAAAAGCATTGGAACGATATTAGGACAAATTTTAGTAGGTAAGAAACTTTTTCAGCCATGGATGCTATTAGATTGCCACACGTGAGAGACTAGGAGAAAGAGGACACACAGAACCTCTCTCTTTCTCTCTCTGGGAGGAGACTTTTTGAAAAACACGGAAGAGTATTATTTTTGTACACTTCGTCAGCTTTTCAGGTCCGGTCAGGTGTTATAGGTATTCAGGAATCCGGGTGTTTTTTTTTTGCCCGAATATACGGTACACAGTTGTTCCTTAGTACGGTTAATGATTATCTCATCCCACTACCTCTTTCCAAATTTCCAATTCCAAGATTAGGCAGGAAAGTCAATAAACCAGAATTGAGTTTGAGCCTTCGAGAGAAGTTGTTGTTCACGAGTACGAATAGTTTTTTTTTCTGACGAGCTAGAACCTTGGAATCTTGTAAAATCTAATTGTAAGAGGATACAGCCAATAAAAACCTTAAAAGATCGAAATAAATTGGATGACCCATCATTCCTTGTCAGAAAATGAGCCTTATGTTTTTAATTTTCTATTTTCTTTCAGCTTTTAATATGGGTTTATTCGTTTGTCGTATATTTCTTGAGTTAGTCTTCCTCGAATTTCGACCAGAAGAGATGGCAACTACCACGTAACAAGCGAAAGTAGCAAATTGATCATCTTTTAAGGTAAGTGATGTTTTCTTATATTTTCGCCTTGTGCTCCTCTTTTCGAGAAACACACGCCGCAAGCCAATTATGCGTTCTTCGTTCACTTTCAAAATGAAGCCAAGTACAAAATATTTTTTGTAAAAAGAAATTTTGCTTGCACGAGATCAAAAATATATTTTCAAAGACAAGGAATTGCATTTGGCCCCATTTTAAAACAGAAGCATTAGGCATCTCTCAAATGACCTGTTGCTTTTTATCGTCCGTATCATTTTCAGCATCTCATTTCGAGATTTCTGACCTAAAGATATTCGTCTAGTTGCTAAAAATTTCCATGACATTTGATTAGCTGAAATACAGTGCAGAAAGGGAAATACGGCGTTAGTAGAAACCTTGCAAATCGAAGCTTATTTTTCAGGTGTTAGGCTAATTAGGAATTGTTCTCTGTGGAAATGGGCGACCCCCGAACACAAGAACATTGTTTTCCAATAAACATCAGACGCGAAGTCATGTCGACCAGTGCAAGGGCGACGGAAGACAAGTTGATGACTGCCAACATCGGAGTACCTTTGTTCCTGTCTTACAGTGGACATAAACGCATTGGCGAGTGTTTAGAAAAATGGCAGCGAAGCTTTAGTATCTAAAGAACTGAAAAATAAAAAAGCATGAAGATGACAGCTCTTCGATAGGCTGCTGAACAACTTGTTCACGTGAATTTTGTAATACTGTTTCGAGTCCATAATAAGAATGTTAATAGCTAGAAATTAATACTTAATAAAATTATTGAAAAACGAGTCAGTCTTAATCAGTGTGACTTAAAGAAAGACATGTTTGAGTGTGCGGGTTTTACCATGCAGTTTTTTAAAAAAAAAGTACTGAAATTCTCCCTTCATTCTTTGAAGATCATCAAACACAATCAAACAATAATTGTTCTCAGATTACTTACACTGTAGTTATTACCCTCTGATCGGGAAGGTAGACCCTTTCAACAACTCTTAACTGGATAAATACTACACAATTTCTGTTGTAGGGGGAATTACAAGCTGGGAATTTACGGAGTAAAATTTAAAAACGACTCTGTCGAACTTGGCTTCAATCAAAGCAAATTCACTGCATTTCTTAACAATTAATGATACCTTACGGCAATATATCTTTAATAATTTTATTTTCACTCATAATTTTTTGCTCTAACTAAGAAGTACTTTATTATTTGTTCTACCCGATACTACTCGAGAGTCACGAGTGGACGAGAAGAGGGAATGTAACACAAGGTAGCCTCTCTGGGTATATGTAAATTCCTAACATCCTGGGACCTCTCCTCCTAGTGACTAGGACAGAGACGACAGCGGCCTTCGAAGTCGGTGCGCGCACAAAATGAAGCCGGGAACACCTCCACGTTGCAAACATGGGTAAAAAATGTACAACATACATGCACCTTCAGAATTTATTGCCTACAGGACGCCAGCTTGCGCATTTCAAACTGAAATCATTCGCATTCTAATTGTTTAAAAACTCGGCCTTAAATTTACGGTTATTAACGAGTCCTTTGAGCAGAGACCATGCGTTTCTTCTCTGTTCTTAAACAGAACACGATTAAGGACCATTTATTTTTACATGAGAGTTGCATCCTATGCGCTTTTTATCCTACCACCTTGAACTCTTATGTTGGGATTTGCCATCGGGTCAAGAAACGGGTCCTTATCAGCCATTCCCCGTCCAACTCGTGTAAAAAGCACCACAACAGTAGTGAAGGCCAGAACAAACAGGATCAGCAATACTGTGGTTCGTTTTAAGGAGGCGTTTGGATCCTCAGGTCCAGGCTTTTTGGGTCGACGAGACCTGGAAAGCAAAAGTATAACATTGATAACGATTCATTAAAGCGTTGATACATGAACTAGGAGCTTGACTCTGAATCATATAACATTAGATCACAAGCAGTTACATACTCTTCTTCACGGCACGATAATTGCCTGCCACCAAGGCTCTAAGCGCAACTCTTTTCAAAGGCAGCATTTACATCCTATGTTTTATCATAACATGGTCGCCAGAATTATCAATCAGTCGCGATCTTTTTTCTTTTTCACATCTTAATATAAAAGACGACGACAAGGCACTGATTGCCTTGCATGCAAATGGTTCTCTCAATTAAACTTTCGACCATGCAAAGATAGATAGAAACATCACACCTGGCTTCAAGACCAACGAACACAGACCGACAAACTGGGCGACTTTCTTTGTAAATTTAGCTGCCTAAATTTTTTTATTACTCTAAATGGCGACCAAAAAGTTCCCAGCTTGGAGCGCTGAATTCACTGCTACTACCAGTCCTTCCAACCAACATGTAGCAGGACTATCCTTGTCAACTTGGAACGAATGTTTTGGCTGCGGTATAACATTTTCACTGTGTGATCATTTAAAGAATTTTAAAGTTGCTTACCAAAACCATCTCGTGAACCAATCGATGGCACCTCTCCTTTGGTATTTATTTTCATCATGATCATACGGGATACTGTCTACTGGCTCCTTCGTGTTGAATATCTTCCTTGACACTGTGCCTGAAAAACAGTGGGAACGTTACCTATCTCATCAGAGTCACTAAAAACAGGGTTCCTACCCTTTTTCAAAAACAAATTTCAAGGACTTCTCCAGGACTCAGATTGATTTTTAAGGGCTCCAAATTTCACCATAAACCCTTTTCATTCCCAAGATTTCAAAATTAATTCTCCTTACGGTCTACATAAATTTCTTATAACGTAAATTCTGAAAACTTTATTGCTTGAGTTAAGCAGATTTCCTGGACTTTCCAGGATCTATAGTCTTTTTCCAGGACTTTACAGTCCAAGAAAATGTCAAAATAAAAAGGTTTTCCAGGACCTGTGCGAACCTTGTAAAAATAGTTTAAATCATTTCTTACTCCTGATGAAACCTTTTCTGTAACCCAATATAACTCCCAAGATTTGATTGTTAATCCTCCCCTCTAGCTGCTAAACATTTGCTTGTAAATTAGTTATGAGAATTTGGTGTTAGATCAAGATAACAACTTCTACCTGATGACTTTGAGTATTCTCATTTCCTGTTTGCCAAATAATGTATGGATATAAAAGGAAGAAGTTCAGTGTTAATTATTCCTAGGAGTTTAAGAGTTAAGGTAGCAAACATTTGTTTTGTGCCCTACTGTTTGCAATACTAATGTAAACCACATGGCATCAGAAGGTTGATTATTTGGACAACCAAGGAGAAAAAGGTGGCACTGGGAGCAACAACAGTGGTATTTGCAAATGTTTATCTCACTTTAGCACTTGGCTTAAAGTACAAACCAGGTAATAAACATTTTAAAACAGCTTACAAAAATGATCACCAAACGCAGTTCACCAAATTGGTAACTTCTGCTGAAATGGTTTTACATGCCATGGCAACAAAAAAGCTGCAGCTTGGAGCACTATGCTACATCTACTTCCTCTGTTACATCAACAAAGATCATAATAACATTAAGGAAAAAAAGTTGAACTCACTGGGCTTGTCACCATGTGCATAAGACTGCTGTGGGGGTGGTACCATAGTGTTCTGTTGTCGCACATCTACTACATGATGATCTCTGGTTGATCGCAGTTCTGTTTTAGTACTCAGTGGGGTGGTGTATGGAGGTGACTGACTAGCTGTGTGTGAAGTAGAGTTTAGGGTATGGTCTTTTTTTTCATAAGTGGGTGCCATTCTCTGACTGTCTGACATTTGAGCAACTGATGAGAAATATGTACAGTATATAAATTTTAAAAAAATTTTGACATCTTTTTCCTGCACAATGGATCAAGTATTACAGGGAACATGGTTACTACTGATGACTGAAGGAGAAAGATTTCTAAAAGTTAAGATTATGGTAAGGCACTACTAAAGGTTTTGCTGTTAAGTACATCTGACCTGTCCATGCTCAACATTCAGTAGCACTCAAATCATTTTGAACAACCTGGCCCATGGAACTTACCTGACAACTAACAATTCATTCAGTCAAGAATTGTGAGCATGAAAACAAAATAGCATGCAGAGAATGGAAACATCCATCACAAGCTACTATTCTTTTATTTTGATATTCGATTTTCTCCTGGCCAGGTACCTTAACTCTTAACTAACTGTCATCATATATGTACCAGTAAGGTACATATATGATGACAGGTACCCAATCTATGCAATTTTTCACCTGTGAGCTGACCTTCATTCTCCTATCCAGGAGAAGATTTGAGATGAGTCTTTGAGAGGTTTGCTGATATGAGAATTATTATCAGTGTTCAACCCTTTGCAGATCTCTTGATAAGACCTCACATTTTTCAGAAAGCAAAGAAATACTTATTTGAATGCTGCTTTGACGTAATGAGAAAGAAGAGATTTCCTTGAATTGAGCAATGCAATTGCTGATAACACTTACCAATATCAGCTTCATGTCTTGACACAATACTTTCAGAGGCTGTGGTGCTTGTTGAGCTGGTGGAAGGTACCTGGCAAGTTCACAGTCAAAAAGAGAATCAGTAAAATATCAGACAAATGGTTCCAATCATTTTTTTATATCAAGTGGTAAAAGGACCAAAAAAAGTGACAACAAACACCAAGGAACCAACCACAGGAAGCCCAAGACCAACACGGGCCCATGGTGCAGTGGCCAACATCTGTCTCAACTGGTCAGCAACAGGAGAAATTTGATTCTCGGGAGGAAACACTGTTGACTGCAGAAGAAAAGTCACAGTTTATTCAAACAAAATTGCACCTATGGTTCACTGAGAAAAAAGCCAGGGAAAACTTTGTAAGTTGAACTCTTTGTGGGTATTGAAACAGCTTTGTTGCCTTGGTAAATGCAAGGTTATGCAAACCTTCTTGTTTCTGCTTTCAGGAGATTTTATATTGTTCATTTGGCTGAGAGTAAATGCTGCTTTTTGATATGAGACAGCATATCACTGAGATTCTTTGAGAGTTGCTTCTTGCAAATTTATATTTATATAGTATTACCAATGAAGGAGAGAAGAATATGCATCTACTCCTTCATAATTAAGATTTGATTATTGTTACACATGACGCACCTTGCAGTTGGGACAAGAGTAACCAGCTGGAGCAGTGTTTGTTGGAAGGCTTGCAGCATAACTGTTAAGACAAGCCCAGTGGAATACATCTAGGGAGAAATGCATAGACTGAAACACTGGAAAAAGATATCCACAAACTAAACAACACAAACATACTTGGCTCTCAGTCTGAAGGGAATTGAGTCAGTGCCTCCTCGATACCAGTCAGGAGATACTACCAACTGCAGTATGAAGTCACAAGTTGGGTAAGAAGCAAATTCCAATTTTTCTTTTGTTGTTGTTTACCATAAGTGATCATTTTGTAACTTGCAAATCACCTGCAAGTCAATATTTGACTTTCTATTTTAAGGGTGAGCGAAACCCTTTAACGAAACAAAGAACCTCCAAGAATTTGCCTTCCTCCCAACATGTAGCTTTATGGCTCAGTTTGAAGTAGGGCCCACTTAGAATCAAGGAGGGCATAACCAAATCACACTTAGGCAGGAAGCAATTTCAAGTGAAAATTCTTTATAAGCAGTACAACGGCAAGGGACCTGTTAGTTTCTTGTTTTATCTGAAGGCCAAAATGATTTAACTGTGGGAAAACAAAGCAGAATGCACCTTATATGCAGAAGGAACTTTCACTACAGCTCTGATAACATAGAGGTATATCCATGTCCACTTGAGAATTGTACTTACTATACACATAACAAATCAAAGCAAGTTTTTGAGAAAAATTACCTCTGCCAGCAGAAACTTTCACATTTTCTTGGATTCAAATGCATATTCATGTACTTTGCATGAAAGATACAACAATGTACCTGAGTGGCCATGTCTTAAGTTTTAATCAAACAAAACAATAAATCAAATTGGCCCCATTGATTCCTAAAGGGAATATCCTACTAGCTTATCAGAGCAAGAAGAGCAAATTATTTAGGTGTATTCTACATTTAGTATGATATTTACAAATATAATAAAGACACCAAAATCTTGGTTACTCACCAAAGCAAATTAATCGAACAACATCTCCCTCAGCTAAACTTCCATTACACAAAGTACAGACTGGATTATAATCACTGTCCTGGAGCCAGTGTAGATATGACTTCACAATACACTTGATCACATGAGAAAAAAAAATAGAAGAAATGAGATATAATTCCAATAAGTATGCTAGAGCTATCACAAAGAAGTAAAGTATATTATTATTAAGAAAACTACAGATTGTAAGGCCACTGATGTTATCTTAGTATGTTTTCAAAAATTAGGAATAATGCCAAAGCCTTATGCTTGAGGAAAAACAAAAATTATAGAAATGCTACAAGAACAAGGAAACACATGATAGTTTAATGTCTGATGCTCGAAGAGATGTTTCAAGGTGGCTCTGTCTTCTGAGGTTTTGGGAATCTTAGGGGTCTTCCAAATCCTTATTAACAATCAACGTCAGCAAAACTTAGTTTAACTAACTTGTAAAATTCATTCATAATCCTTTCTGTTTTTTGTAACTTACCAACAGAAGTGTACATAGATGTAATGCATATTCAAGAACGTAACTGTCGATGGCACATGCAGAGCAAATTAAACGAGTTTAACAAAAACAATCACATTTATCTGGTTCTAAATGGAAATAAACCGCTTGTTATCTCTTACCAATTGCATGTCACAACCGAAAAACAAATCATCCCTAAAATACCCATCATCGTTACATATTTTTGATGATTCCTCCTGAATATGAACTAAAAACATTATATTGCATCTTGTTTCTTACCCTGGGGTGACTTGAAACAAGACAGTGTTCACAAACATTCACGCGATGTTCGAAGCAAAATTGGGTGGTAACCTTCTTCTTGGGGCATTTACATAAACCCATGACAACTTTACGTCAGTAAGAATTTCACATGAATCCTAAAACGACAATATTTTGGACGAATTTTCCAAAAATTTCTATCTTTTCGCTTGCCACGTCGCCATTGCCATACCTGTGCTATGTAACCTAGCCTTACAAAATGACTTCAGCACGGATTCCACGATTCTTCGGTTGATGATTTTAGCGGAAATGCCTACATGCCTTATATTTCAAGAAAACAAAAACCATTTTTATCAACTACGGCGAAAAAATAATCTATTGATGATAAACCTCTGAATTATAAAGATAGATCGGGTGGCCTTCGGTAAAATGGCGAAAGGTAACTTTCCTAGACCTGCCCAGCCTCTTAATGCAAATATCAATTTAAGGTACGCTGGCATCCACACCAAGTTGAAATTTCGCGCGACAGATAGCGGCAAATTTCGATGGAGTAGTAATTTCTCCTTTCCTCGTAACTATGAAATGAACAAAAAAACGTAAATGCACAGTACAAATAGAGAGTTGTTGCTAATGACCATAGGCTCGATTGCCGGCTGCTGTTCGGGAAAGAAGAGTTCAGGAAGATTGAACTCAATAGAGTGAGTGTTTGACCCCATTCTTGATGAAAGAGGGTCAAATAATCGGGAAGAAAAAGGAGAAAAGTGAAAAAAGTGAATTAATTGACAACCGGGAGCCTTAGTTCAGACAAAGTCTAACTGTTTTCTTGACCCAAACGTTTCCGTTACAACATATAGGCTAAAAACCCAGGTATCAACGATTTGTATTCAAGATAAGTCCTGAAGAACACTGTAAGCTTTTAGACAGGAGGACTTGCGGGGGAGATCACATTGTTTCAGGGAAAACGGGGGGAGGGGGGTCGGTCGTCGCAAACAGAGTAAAGAGGGGGGAGAGTATAAAACTGGCCTACAACTGAATGCCAACGAGGGAGGAGGGGGTGTCATATGCGTATTACAGAGCCTTTGGGGCTTTGAGGGAGGTCATGTAAATTTTATCATGAAAAAACCTTAATTGGTCGGGCGATAGGAATCGAAAAAGATTGATGGGGATTGCTCATTTGAAAATCACTGTATAATGACCAGTAATGAGTTATTCCTTCCCAAAAGTACTCGCAACATGAAGAATGTACAAACACTCATGGGCATATTTTTAAAAACTTCAATGTTTATTTTGTTTGAGCTTTATCAGCTCTTAATGAACTTTTGTCTCGACATGAACTTTTGCATCAAATAAATTATATTCACAACAATAACTTAAATAAATATTTTGGTTTGAAAGGCTTAAAACTGAAATTGTTCCATTAGGAACTAACATATAACTGTACATTGTACTATTTATATAAACAACCTTTGTAAGAGTTGAATTCATTTTCTGCCTCTATTTATGACTCCTTTCATGAGTTCTGCCATCTTTACTTCGATGCGTGCCAAAGTAGAGTTCAATTTTAAATTAAGGCTCGTCTCTTTTTTTAATTTAATTCTAGGGCGTTTGACTTAAAACAACCATGTTATGAGTAAAGATGCCATGAAGAGGAGTACATTTGGCACCAGACCAAAAGCAGCCCCCACCGGTCTAATTGCGACTTCCGGTCGGACACATCCCATCCAGTTAGACGCTACATCTCTGGGATAAGGGTTCTCATCATCCTCCAGGAGCTGCACTCTTGCATCGTCGTAAGCGTAGTATTTGTTTCCTTTGAAGAAATATGACCTGCCGTTCTTCCATTGGAATACCGCATTGATATCGTAGGGAACCCCTCTCCACACAGATATATCCCTGGGGTATCCAGCATCCATTTGTAGACTACCAGATGTGCTGCTAAATCTCCAGTATCTTGAGCCCTTAAAGAAGTAGATTTTTCCATTTCGTACCCACTGGAATGCAGCGTCCACATTGGCAAGCTCATCGGGAAGATTAAGTTGCGAGATTTGGGCCGGACCATGGATATATTCTTTGTTGCGATATACCCAGAATCTAATAAAATAATGGTAGAAAAAACAACAGACCAATTAGATTGTCCAGCGTAAACTTTCGGAGTATTATAGATGTGATACATATGCTCTTGACAGAAATCAGAACACAAACAGTTAAATAATTTCAAAAAACGTTTCGGAGTAATTACCTAGAATCCTTGAGGAAAATGGTGTGTCCAAAGGGTTCTTGCACTGTGTAAGCTGCATCGATGTTTTCTTCCAGATCGGGCCAATGAGCTTTGATTTCATGAGGGCCAGAGGCACCACCCGTGTCTCTGATTTCCCAGAAATGTTGGCCATTGAAGGCGTAGGTTTTCTTATCAGCTGTAGTTACCATGGCATCAGGTTTGACGTCACTGCAAGTCTTAGGCGTTGGGTCTGGTTGAGGCGCGACCACATCTGGAAGACCTGTGAAAAAATAAAGGCGAAATAACTAAGATGAGGTCGAATATCCGATGAGGGAACTTCATTGCTTATTTATAGAAATAACAGATAGTTCACTTCCAGAGGAAAATGAAGCCTTATCGTAAAATTGTTCAAAGCATTAAAAGTTTTGAGGAAAGTTTTAGATGTTATTTCTTCCTTACCGTAAAGAGCCTGGATTCCAGCTACGTCATCACTGTCTAGTTTCAGCTTCTCCACGTATCCCGGATAATAAGCAAACATGACAGATGCGGGATGATAAGTGTGATCCAGTCCTAGACTATGACCCAGTTCATGCACGGAGAGCCACAGCAAGTCGACTCCAGCACCACCGTTGATAGCAAACTTGTCTTCATCATCAAAATGAACATCGCCAGCGAGATCTTCTTCTCCCTTTCCTCCCAGAGGAAAGAACGCATGAGCAAGCTCCCCCCCAGGCCCATCGGCTGGCCGGGTGTCGCCATGGAAACCTTCCACAAAACTTAATTTTATATCAGGTGTCGCCTCAGGGTCGTCTTCACGCTTGATTGTTAGACCGCTTGCGTTCGACCACATTTCAATGGCTTTAGCAATTGTTTTGTCTACGTCTTCTTTGGCGATGTCTGGTGTATGATTTTCGAGCCGGTAAGTAAGAAACTGTTAAAAGAAGGATAATCGATCCATTAATTGACTGCTTGATTCCAAAACGGCGAGCACTTTAAAGTTCTCTCCTCGCGCGTCCATCCCTTCACTCGCGAGGATCACCCTCCTTGCTCGCTACGCGCATCGTAAGGCGCGCCCTTCGCGCGCCCGTCGGCTTGAACCATCATTTAAACCGAATCTGGTCCATTCTATGTTAAATCAAATTCCTACAGTTGAAAAGAGCATTAAGACTAGAAAATCCGCGTTGAAGTCACCGAAACCACCTACGCTGGAAATACTCGCGAAGGACTGAAACAAAGCTTCTAGAAAATAACTTACGTTTTTCTTCCAGGATGTTCCCTGATGAGCCCATCGCCTTTTTCTCTTCGCGTTGTCCGACGGTCCTAAGTCTGCCAATCCACATCTCTTTCGTTTCACAAGCGCTAATGTCCTAGGGTCGGAGATGTCGCCAGTCTCCTCGTAACCAGCAAAACGCTGCATTTTCTTAACGGCCGCTCTGAAGTCTTCCATTGTGGTCACTTTTCCGATTCTGTGATTGGGGCTGCTGAGGTAGCCATACTTAATGAGATAATCCTATCAACAAAGAAAACACTTGGAGAGTTAGTGTGCGTTGTTTCGCAATTCAGATACAATACCGTTGAGCGACCGAGCAAAGGAAAAACCATTCTTACATATTATTATTCGGTTTTTTAAGTGAGCTTTAGGGCTGCGATCGAGTGGCCAATTTCCCATATTGACCAACCGCCCGTAATTTAGTCTCCAAGAAAAAGCATGTATTATTTCAGCAGGTGTGATGGTGAAGTCATTAAATCCGGTCAAAAAAAGCAAAAAAAAACATTAACTTAAATTTACAGAAGGTAGCTTTTAACACAAAGGCATTCTTTATGCTTCTAAGCTTTCCAAGCTTGACTGTACTCCTAGTTTAAGAGTTTAAGAAAATGAACGACACTTTTTGAAAACATGTTTCGACAGTTCTTCTGTCGTCTTTAGTTCTGAATAATACAAAGTTGAATTTAAGTGTGTAACAAAATGCTGATTGGACAAAACAAACAATAGCAACAGAGCAATGCATGCATTTACAAGGAAAGTTTTAAATCAACATGATAAAGTTGATGATTAGGTGAAAGTTTCTCCCATTGAATGTGGATAGCTTCTTTGATTTTAAGTTGAAAAGTTGTGGAAGCGAGATCGAAGAGCAAATTTAATAATTCCGTGAGGACTCGAATAGAACTGTTGGAAAGAAGTCATTCAATTAATCCTGGCTGCGGTATGTACTTCACTGATGATTGATCAATGAATTGAAGCTGTCATCCACTTCATTCACAATGTAATTTTTCACGGGTCGTTGAGCTGAGAAAACATTTTCTAAAGCGAAATGTTAACTTCACTGACGCTCACTACTGTTTCGATAATTTTAAAAGAAGCACATCCGAGCAGAATAAACACGCCAACTGTGCTCAGAAATAATGATATCTGCTGTGCCGGAAATTTTTACCAAAGGCAACTTTACGCTAGTATAACTATACAAACAGAGCATTGTAGATTGTATATCTAATCGAACGAAATCAGTACAGATCGATTCGAAATCATACATCTTTTCAAGGGGAATAATTGAATTTAAGATAAACATATTCATTCACTTACCAAGAGTTCTGACTCTCTGGCAGGTTGTAATTCAGGGTCAACCGACACTGAAGCAATCGGCTTTCCATTTGCAGAGGTTACGAAGCCACTCACGGCCGCTATTACAACTATTAGCGAAATTCTTACTTCCATTATCCAAGGTGGTAAAGTTCCGATCAGTTAAGTACCTTCGGTTCTGATCGATTTGCTGTTTCTAGCTGGTTTTAGCTTGATATCTTCAAACAACTGTGAAAACACTTCGCTTTCGCTCGGCTTTTATACGTTTAAACCCCTGTGATGATTGCCCCCTTCTGACGTCCTTATGACGTCACAGGGGCGGACAGCGGAATTCCGTGCCGTAAGCCGCACGCGTGTGTTGTCTTTCCTAGTTCATTCCAAGAAAGCTGCTTCGTCCAAGTTTATTCCAATCAGAAATCCGCATCGCTTTTTAAGGACATGGTACTAAGAAGTCCTTAAAAACCACTTTTCTTTTTAAGAAACAAATCTCGATAACTTACCAATAATAATAAGTGATAAAAATATCAAATCAAATCGAAATAAGACGGGAAAAATCCTCTTGGCTTTTTGAAAACCAACTGGTTTCATGGAAATCAATCAGGTGTGAAAGCGGAGGACTTTATTGCCAGGCTACGAAAACATCTGGTAATCGAAAAGTCACCTTGACTGACCACATGACTGTGCTTCTCATTCGTCAACATAACTCAGCAAGTCATAACAAACCGGCAAGAGCTGACACTTTTTTTTTATCAACTTTGCATACCATACTTTTGCTTTTTGTGTACATTTGCATGACGTCGGGCATAAGGAGTGCAAAAATTTCATTGTCTTTGTTCAAGTTGTAATTGTCTTTATTGTTTGGTCTAAACAAGTCGGGCTCAACCTCATAGAAAGGTTAAGTTTGCTTAAGTGAGTTAGCAAATTCAGTTTTGTTTCCATCAAATTTCCATTAAAGGAAAGCCAAGATGAGTTTAAGGTAGGAGCTGAAAAAATGCGCTTTTTTGCGCTTGAATATACTGCCCACCCGCTCGCGAGGTTTAGCGAGAACGTGTCACGTTATTACGCAACATGTTTTGCATGTCATCAAGTTGACCTGGTTAAGCGTGACCTGAGTTCAATCCGTTTAGCTCAAGTAAAGGGGTTTAGAGACAGAATTACTGTTTACTAATCACCTTTCATTTCATGATACCCAAGTTCAATTTCTCTTGCATCGCGAGAAAGGTCCGCTGCTGATTAATAATAGTTCGACCCTAATATCGCTTGGCACTTTCTCGATATTTCCAGACTTAATGCACGAGTCAAAATTTAAGTTTTCATTTTACTCAATGCACCGTGTAATTTTATGAGATTTTAAAAGTTAGTGTTGATAAACAAGGCTGCACGGAAAACTTGTACGTGATATGGGGTAAAGATTATGATCTACGACGTTATTTCCTTTGTCAGTTTCTTTAACTCAAGTTACGAGTAATAGGTGTCCAATATAAGTATATCATAACGATCATTGTAAGATATCACTGCTGGATAATATTCCATGTTAAACATTTCTTTTTTTTAAGGTTGAGCAGAGAAAAATTCAGATTGCCTTGATCAGAGCGCTGGGATGCGACCATTAACGCGCGTATCACAAGTATTTTGGCTGCTGTTGTTTGGCTAAGTTCTTCAATTCCACTGTTTCTATTAATTTGCTGCGGCGATTACGGTGATGAGATTTGGGTCAAAAGAAAACTCAGTCAAAACAAAAAGGTTATTAACCTTTGGCTGATCGATTAGCCACATAATTTTTTTAAAGAAAGCTTTGATTAATTATGTTATGGCCATGGCATCTGGTTTAACTGATACAGTACGTGCGGTGCTTATGCACAGATATCCAACCATGTGAATGTAATTTTTAATAATCATGATCTTTGGAGTTGTGTCTCTTAAGCAGTCACCGCAGTTAAACCGTGACCAGTAGTAGGGGTCTCTCTGGAAGCCATATAATTCCGAAATGTATGTGTCATTTAGTCTAAGTGTGCATATCATTTCCGGATGGAACACGTTCACCTTGTGTGAAAACAAAAAATTAAAATAATTTTTGAAATCATGCTTTTGTAAACTGATCAACAATATACAAAATACAATACTGGATCACGTTCGATACATTGCTCACTAGCATTGATAAAATTCCTGTAAAATGGCATTCTTGGTCTCAATCACGTTCAACAGGCTATTGACACGAACTAATTGAAAGTTATCGGACCGCATACCAGTCTCGCTCTTGTTGAGACTGATTAATCTTCATCATACAAACCCTCTCGGAAATGGCGGAGTACGTTGTCCGACCGCAACACGATCATCGTTAAGTACGATATGTGGTTTTTTAAGAATTTTGTTATTGAATTTATGGAATTATCTTGGATGAATTTACAGAATTGGTCTTGTGGGACTTTACTTTTGAATATTTACCCGGTTTATATCAACTAATTTTCAATAAATAAGGTCATCATAGCAATTTTACATTTAAATGAGGAAAGTGACAAAATTAGTTCTTTTCGTTGGTTTGAATACATCACCACGAATTCTGCTGACACAACACGTGGGAAGTTTTCCTCCCATAAATTGATCGTTACGTCTTCCAAAGGAATTAAATAATTTGAAACTTTAATTTTAAAGAAAGGTGTTATTTATTTTGTTGCGAAGGGAAGACAAATAATCTTAGTATCCCTAAACAAAAGGTAGGCATTCGGATTTCGCGCCCCAATTCTCGTCGTGGGTTGGAGATTAGAATTTGTCATGCTTGATCAGATTCTCCTTGCCCCTATGCTTCGGACAAAATGAATTTTCTTTGTTTAACTGACCAAGCCCAAAATTTGTCATCTCTCTTGTTCTATTTTGAGACATTTTCACATTTGTGGTAGCTGTTTTCGGAATTTAACATTCTCCCAACCCAGCTGATCATCCTTTAAAACTGTAAATGCCCATATGTTCATGTACTTTAACTGTCCATGTGGTTATTCATTTTCTGTTTATTTTAATCCTGTTTGTTTATAGTTTAATGCGATTAAATTTTGAAAAAAACTGATAGGGCAAGGAAAGTACTTAGTAGATTTCTTTTCAAGTTGGCACTGATAAGCTGCCGCAAATGTAAAAAAAAAACCCCGTATTTAATAGAATACTTTTGACATAGTGAAAGCCGTTTGAAACGGAAAAGCCCTAGTATTTGCATTCAAGCCTGAAATTTCTATCAGAAATCAACTGCTTGTTGAAAGTCTCCGATGTAGGAGGTCTTTGGCGATGAAAACTGACTCAGCTATCTTAAATTGAAAAACAGGAAGACGTGACAACTTTTTAAAACTGGTTTGTTTTGTTTTGATAATCCGACTCTTTGGGCCTCTAAATATTTGCCTTCAGGCTTCGGACATGTAAACCGTTCTGATGAAGGGGCTCGAAACTTTACAGAAAATTCCCGAAATTTGCATTAAATCAAATTTAACGTTTTCTCCGGCTCGAGGCCGTGTATCGACGATACTGTATTTGAAATATTGACTTCCCAGACCGACTGTCTCAATTCTAAGTAATGATCAATCTTAACGTTGTGCTTAGCTTTGAGATCGTTATCCGATACTAAAATATTTAGAAACTGGTGTGAAATAGCGCTGGAACCACGGTGAATAATTAGGAAACCTGCTGATGACTTTGACAGTTTTCAGCTCTCCGCTGAGAATGCCATGAACACGAGAATTATTGAAAGAAAAATTGAAGTCATGAATTATACACTGTTATATCAAAAACCGGAAACTCTAGAACAGTTAACAACAGTTCAGGGAAATAGCAGTTTCTCGTTCAATAACTTTGCTAACTTCGGGGGTTTATGGTCATGGTTGTTCGTAACGCTTGCGAACAGTGGGTGTTTTCACTACCATATAAGGCTCGATCAGTTCACTTTAACAGAGACATAGGGTACACCTCCCACTTATAGTGGTTTTCCGTTACTTTGCCACAGAAAATCTTGTAAGTTATCGACAAAATTCCTTTTTTAGTTGTTACTGTTGTAAGGAAGGCGCTTGAACGCACTGAAGGAACTCGGAAAGCTTAAGTAATCTCGATAGTTATGCTTTCGAGAACCTGATCAAATTGCGGAGTAATTAAGTCACGGGTTCCGTTTACAAGACCGACATGCCTTTTTAACGTTTCTCTGAGAGAACTGTTCAACTTAGCTAGTTGAATCTTTACATCGACTTAAATATTGAGAGTAAAGAAAATTCAAGGGCCTCGCATTGCCTTCCTATCAAGAGAAAAGCTGTAAAACAAAAACCAGGGAAGGTTAAGAGACTTGGCATTCAATTAGAGCGATTCATTGATTGTCAAATCAATCCAGTTTAAGATGATGGGGAAAGGTAAAGCACCAATTAAATGTCATCTATATCGGCTTTGTTTTCCGAGTTTGTCTTTCTGCTTTTTTCCCTTTATGCTCAAAATCTTAGACACGTTTTCGGTAGTGCGGGCTATTATCCTTAATATATGGTCTTATCTAGATCAGCCGGTCTAAAGATTGATTCGATTCATCGACACTTCATTCCACTGAATGCACGTAATTAAAGTCAAGCTCATTTACCCTTGCCAAGTTTCGAAAATGTCGAAAGTACATCTAGCGTTTTTCAAGGCCCACGCGTGATAAATATTAAGTTTCTCATTTCTTGGTCCATGATATTCAACCAAAGTTTATTTACCCTGACCTGGCGACACTTATTGACGAATATTGGAGGTCAGTGACGATAATATTGGCGGGAAACCAAACTTTGCAAGACTGTACGCGTAATATCAAGTTTAAGGACAAATATTTCCGGTAGTCTATAATGTTCCAGAATGAGGGAAATTCACAATAAATTCTTCAGTTTTCGTCGTATAATGAACAGATTTCGTCTTCATTTAAATATAGCCAGAATAATCTTAGAAACTTTGCGGAAAATCTTATCACACCCAACTAACTGAGTTTGGACTTAAAAGGGAATGTTTTCATTGGCCAGAAACCAACTTAACACAGCCGCGTTAGCCACGGCCTACAGTCGCTTTAGCAGTTCACTGAAACGCATTATATTCCATTTGTATCCTACACGAACACGAAGTATGTGTCTGAAAAAAAAAACTTATTTTGTCGGCTGAATATATCACAACAAAAAAATAAACTCAACGAACGAGGGAGCTCTGCTTTACCATTAAAGGTGTTCAAATGATCATCGTAAACCATTATTGTTGTATTACGGT